AAAAGAAGAAAATCGGTTCAGTTTGAAAACCAAACTGTTTAAAACCGATTCGGTATCGTTTTTGTTAAAATCGGTTATGAACCGCTCCATGCACACCCCTACTTAGAGTACAATATAAGGGGAGGTTATACTTACCACCAGCTAAATTTATCAACCTTACAATCAATCTAATCACCGTTAGATTAAAAGTAAATCTAACAGTGATTAGTTATCCCTTATAATCTTAATTTTTTCTCTCATATTCCCTCTCTTTCTTCCTTTCTCTCTCTAATTTTCCATCCACACACTCTTTCTCTAGGTTTGACAATCACCTCTCTCTAATACAATTCATTAATCGTTTTAAATTGTTCCCTCTCTATGTTTGGTGTAATCTCTGATTCCTTTGTTGCCAAGCTTATTTTGCACCCCCGTCAAATTCCTCCAAAATAACATTTTTCAGGTTTGTTCATTGCAAGGTTATTAGATTAATCTTCTTCTTTTTTCACTTTGATTTGGGAATTTAATGTTCCGGGTTTCGGTGGGTATTCCTTCATGTTCTTCAGGCTCTTTTGATTCCTTCCTTTTCTTCATTTAATTGATTTGATCATTGATTTTTCTGATTTTTTTATTGATTACTTGAATGATTCGATTTTCGAAGTTCGAGTTCCATTGTTTCCTTAATGTTCTTCTTTTTTCAAGTTTGTTCATCACTCGAGTTCCATTGAGCTAATCTAAAATCTTTCAATATACTTACCAATCTATCACACAATCCAATTTTTTTGCCTTTCTACGCAAATCATGAAAAAAACAACTTTATCACAACGCAGAAATCCAAGAAAAATGAACCAAAAATAAATAGAAAAGTAAAATAAAATTTACTGTATAATATACCAAAAATAAAAAGGACAAAAGCAAAAGAGGTAAAAATAGGTGGCATGTTGGTGATTGAATCGATTAATGAATTGTATTAGAGAAGTGATTGTCAAACCTAGCGAGAGAGAGTGAGGTGGACAAAGAGGAGATGTGAGAGAAAAAATTAAGATTATAAGGGGTAATTAATCACCGTTAGATTTAATTATAATCTAACAGTGATTAGATTGGTTGTAAGGGCGGTAAGTTTAGCTGGTGGTAAGTATAACCCTCCCTATAATATAAATCATTAAGAAGGCTCTCACCCAATTGCTTAAGCTTTTGTGTTGAAATTGGTTCTTTACATGATATCAGAATTTCTGTGTTATGGGTTCGATCCTCAGCGCCCTTCACTTTCTCTTGTGAAATTTCTTAACACAAGTAGATGGATCTATGTATTATCCACCCTTAATGCCCAGTGAGCTCTCGTGTGAGGGGCATGTTAGAATATAACATAAACCATTAAAAGGCTTTATTTAATAACTTAAGTTTTTGGATTGAATTATTTTTTTACAATAATTACCTATTTTATTTCTATTTAGTAGTAAGTATAATATGAAGAACGTGCTGATTTTATTTTCAATAATTAATTTGACCAAATATTCACACACATGATGCATGCTATTTGTTTGGTGCCAAAATTGTATCCTCCTACTTTTTTTCCCACTGTCGACTTGAGCCCATTTCAATCGCATGGCAGAAACCGACCACGACTCCAATGGGTGCATCTTTTTATAGGAAATAATTGTTAGATGTTAGTTGATTAGAGTCAACAAAGAAGGGAAAACTTCAGTTTTCTAGAAAATAAGTATATATAAAAATGGAAAAAGGTGTGTCATTTTAAATGACACACCTTATATCATTTTATTCTCACAAAGAGATGGAATCCATATTTTTAAAACTTTTTCACACATTCTCTCTTATGATTTATCTCTTTTTTCACTTAAAATGACACAACTCTATATCTTTTAAAATGATACACATTTTTCCCGTATAAAATACAGCAGAAAATAAAATAGGAAGAAGACTGAACAATAAGGAAAAACATTGGATTTTGAAATTGCAACTTCTTAGCCTGCGCCGACCTTGGAGGATCGGAAAAAGTAAGAGCTAAATGATTGAGATGGTTACTTTCTTTAATGTTGGTATATGCACTTCGTGCAAGGCTATGTGTTTATCTAACCAGCTCAATAAATACTTACCTATTTTGTCATTGTGAGAAGATTATGAAAAAAGTATAGAATTTCTCTCATCTTATAAATACACATAAAATCTTTTTGTAATACGTTAGAGATTTTGAAGCTTAAAGTTTAGAATTTGTGAGTATCTCTAGAAAAAAACTTGAGTGATATTTTTAGATACGTTTGAAATTACCATTATTATTAGTGAAGTTTGATTATATCTCTAGTGTAACTAGAAAAACTTGACTTTTATAATCTTCTTTTTTATAGTAAAAGAATTTTTGGATTAGTATTCTGCAATTTTTACTTCTTCACATTAAAAAAAAAAATTCATGTTAAAAATTTGTTGTGTCTCTCTTACTTTGCATACTTTTATTTCTTTGCGTGTTGGTCGGCCTAGTAACTACATATTGACTTTAAGTGGTGTTTGGTTCCATTCTTTTCCATATTTTTCTAGGCAAACGAAGTTTAGTTTTTAGAAAATCAATGTTTGTTTCAACAGCTTTTGACCAAAACTCATCCGTGTGAAATGCATAGCTTTTTGAGAAAGATATGAATTTGCAATGTTTAGAAACCGAATTTGAGGGTGATTTTTTTGAGAAAATTCGGATAAAGCACTGTTGACACACTTTTTGTCATATATTTCCCTGGTAAAATTTTGTCAAACCAAACTACTTTTTTTTAACTTCCTCATCTATTCAACTTTCCCTATGGATACCTAGTAATTAAATTTCTCTAGTATTCTTAAAATTTATCTTCGACCAAACGCCCCTTAGAGTGCCCGAATTTTGAACTCTGAATTGTAAATCATTTTTGCGCTAATTTGAAGAACCGGCGTCCCAACAGTGGACCCCGTCCCAACACTAAATGCATGCGGTTCTCAAATTTGAATGACATGGCTTTCTTTCTGCAAAGCTTAATGCAATGACTTCAAGATAGGGTTATCCTCATATCAAGCTTGCTCTTATTTTGCACATGGATGGAGTATCCAGCAACGGGTAACTTATATTTACCACTCGCGATATACGATTTCCACGGAGATAATGAAATTGGCATGATAAAATAATGAAAAAGAAAAATAGAATCTACATTTTCTCGATCAGTAATATGATGACATTGGAATTATATGACTTTATACTTATATTAATTGTTGTAATTTATTTTATAAAAATGATTTAAGAAGATAATTTAATATCTTTCCAACGAACTCATATAAATACGTAAGTTAATGTGAGTTTTGAGAATTACTGTATATAGATGTATTTATCAGATTAAGACCTGATTGACAAGCATGCTAGATTATTAATATAAGGCCAGGTGAGCTTAAAATTCATGATGAATGGACATTAGGTTATTGGCGTTGTATTAATAGTTTAAGGTCTTCAATTAACTACATATGGTCACGCTTCTAAGCACTATTAAAGTGACTGTTGTAATTGAGAAGGAGTTTAAGTGAAAGACTTTATCTGCTCTTCTTATCAAATTGATTAATTGACAATACTAATTTTAAAAGGTATGCAAATTATATGTTTTATTAATATATTAATTCCTTCTGTAGTACTTTGCAGTAGGGTGAATAAATTCAGTAAAATAAAAAAGGATTTAATGTAATTTGTTAACGCTTGGGGGGGAAATAAAGGCTTGTTACAACAGTAATAAAGCAAGTCGTGTTGTGATATATGTTCCTAAATTCCTTTCATTTGAAGTTTACTTTTCACAAAGTTCAAGACATCCTAAAGACATAAACCTTATTGGCTTTTTATTCATTTCCCCACTTTATAGACCATTGTTTGCTTCTCTTTATCACCAAGGCATCTTCTCAAATTTCTCTCTCTCAACCATATATGTGGCTGAAAGAAGGCTAGTGGTTCATTGCAAGAATTCAGCTTTCAAGGGGAGAAATGGCTATGGGAAGTATCTATGCAGTTGTGCCTGCTGTTGCTGCTGCTGTTGGATTTTATTTCATCGACAGAAACTATATCAAGGTAAGAAAGGCTACATACATGTATTTCTTTATATCAGCATTGAACAACGTTAGGGTATGTCAAGGTTTGTGTTTTTTTTATATACCTAAAGTTCAAGATGTCTCATCTGTAGGGAATCGAGAAAGGGATTTCGGCATCCAATCCAAAATTGATACCAGAAGTGAAAGAACAATCAAAGACCCTGCAAAAGCCAAAATTGGCACCACAGCTCGATGGTTTGCATTGTTTTGAAACCTTGGTGATGAATTGAATTCTCTTCAAGCTGTTTGTACCTAACTAGTGCTCATTGATGAATGGAAAACTATATATTTGGTACTTATTTCCTCCCTACAACCTCAACCAACTTTTTTCAATTTATTTCAAATCACATCCAGTTCCCTCTTCACAAGGCCAAAGATTTGAAAATGTTGAAGAGAATAACAAGTGAAACACACAAACATCAGATATCAGTAAGAAAAAAAAATATTCATAATTCATAATGTTACATCTATATTTAAGCTTCAATATTTACAATATGTTAACATGTCATATGTCTAAAAATGAAATGAAAAAGTTGAGAGAAAAGAAATTATATGTGACAAAAGCATCTCAACCTGAATTTCTTTTTTCTTTTTTTGAAAATTTTAAAAGTTCTAAAAGACCAAATGTCTGTGTTGGTGTGTTTTTTTATTTAAAATTAAAATGTGTTTATATCGCGTTCCCTATGTATTTATATCATGTTCCACCGTGACTGACCATTTTGATTAGTATTGGTAGTATATCATGTTAGACACATGAACTAAATAATATGTCCGTGCCATACAGGCAACGATAGATGACAAAAGAGGAATGTATCCCTATTTAGTATTTACACAAAACGAACAATAAACCGGGATCATCGGTATGTATGAGCCTCATTAGCTTGATGAATAATTATATAATAAGAGGAAATGAGAAAAATGGATTTTTTTTATTGCTTCTGAGTTTATACAACCATACACACAGCCTTGAAATTCTGTAGTCTTGACCAACAATTATTCATGGTCCAAGAAAAAAAGTTGGAAAAATCATCAATTACTAGCCCCACCAAGCAAGGGACTTTCTCATTTACCTTGATTTTGTTTTTTAATTATAAATGATTTCGCCCTAAAAAGAACCTCTAAATTTTCAAGTAATATATAAGCTACAAGGAAGGAGAATGTCTATCATCCAAAACAATGGCATTCAAGAGATAGCTTCCACCTATAGTTTTACTATCTTCTACCTATATTGGCAAATCTTCTAGCAACACCAAATATAACATACTTGGTCACTAGTCCCCTATCAAGACTACAAGCAAGAGCAATTGCACCACCAATGACTAGTATCTTGGGTATATTCACGCCCTGTGGTTTGTCAGCAGGGATCACACTTTCAGTCTCCGATGTATTCTCAGAGGCTCCAATAGATTGCAAGTATTCAGGATTTATTTTTGTGTTGACCTGAGCCATAAAGGCGCAACGAGAGAGTGGAGCTCCAGAAGCTCTTGCATCTTGATAGGCTCTCAAACCAGGCTCAATCTTCTGGACTGTTCCCCACATCCCTTTCCGTACTCCAAGCTTTGCAATTTCCCATGGAATACCCATTTCTTCATGATGGAAGAGTAAAACTTCACATGCAGTCAACTGGCCATGGCCTCTCTTTGATTCCACTGTCAACAAAAACAACATATCAGTCATAACAAGTCTAATAGTGAAGGAATGGTTAGTTGAAAATGTGGGTTACAAGAGAAAACTTCAAATTCAAAATTAAATCTTATTTGATTGAAGTAATTGAATAAATAGGATATAGAAATAAACCTGCTCGAATGCACCAACTAGAGTAGTACACGTCAACACGTCTTGGTTTGTCATGTCTTGGGATTGAAGGACAGTCTACTCCCTAAAAGAAAAAAATTGGAACATCAATTAAAAAAGAACAACAATGTAATTCTGCAATCGAAATATAACCATCATCAATCATTATCTTCAAATATTCCAATAGAAAAAGAGGACATTCTTCTTATACCTTTGTCACACAATAGTATGATCTTCCTGATTCCCATATTCGACGACCGATTATGTATTCTCTGTCTTTACAGAAAAATGGGAACTGTACCACATAGAATAAGCAACCATAAGCACATTGAACCAAGACAATAATTTACACTTGAATAGATAAATCAATTGCAGAGGATTTGCACCTTCCGTATCCATTGCACTTTCATGGTTCCAGTAGTGGGACACTCTTCTATGGTTGCCGACCTTGCAAGCATGTCATCCCATCTAGGTCGGAACTCATCATCCCAGAATAAGTCCCTCACTATCTCAGGAGTTGCATCCTCAAATATAGTACTGCTTCGATATTCGGGAGGCCCATTCTAACAAATCAGCAAGACAAAATTCATAAAACTAATCAGGTAATTTGAATAAACCCAAATTTTTTCACAGATAATAGCGATAGCAATCATCTACTGTATTTTAGAGATAATCATTTTAAATTAATCTAAAGAACAAAACTCTTCAAACTAGCAAAACAACCAAAAAATTATCATACCTTTGGTTCTCTATGCCATGCTTGGTATCTCATGGTCGGGGTAGAACGATCCATCATCTGTATCCAAGGGAGACCTCCATCTTTCTCCTCCACAAGCTGGCATAGATGATGTAAATCCTCCATCGTAACAGCATCAGAAGTTTCTTCACTGGATTGGGTGGACAACATAGTAAGCAAAATGAGAAATAACGTGGTATGGTATACTTATATCACATTTAAAGATTTGAAGAGCAATGACAGTGTACAAACTACAAACCATTTATTCAACCCAAATATTCAAACTTTTAAGTTGTCAATTTGTCATTCAAATGGATGCAGACTGAAATAACAAGTCAAAAGCACCATCCGTAGACTGATTCATGGAAGGGTTTAATTTTAATTTAATAAATTAATTAGTGTTTCACATCTTAATTCCGCAAGGTAATAAGAACAATAGCCCCAATTCCTAACAACATAAATGAATTCAAAATATAGCTCTAAATTTATACAATTATTTATCCAGATAACTGAAGATTGGTAAAAAAAAATAAAAAATAAAAAATAAAAAATGCTAAATACCTGCAGGAACTATCGCATTTCATCGGTGTGGAAGAGGAAGAGGAAGCCTTTTTATCCGTTTCTTTATTTAGGGCCAAAGATTCAGGGTTTGGACACTGCATTTTGATAGAACTAAGGCAAGGAGAAGAAGCATAGCTTTTCATGGGCGAAAATCCAGACTTTGAAGGCGAAACCGAGGATGGTGATGCAAAATCCAAGGACTTGGCCAGGGAACTAGTCAATTTTTCTTTCCCTATGCTCGCCCATTTTGGTCTCCATAACCATCCAACAACAACACCAAAGAAAAACGCTACCAACATAGGACTAATAAACACGACAATCGCTGCACCCACACCCAATATTGCGGGATTTTCCAACATATCATAAAAAGGCTGTGGCAAAGCCATAACAATAAGAAAAATAGAATTTCCAAAACCTAGAAGGAAAATTAAAAGGGAATAAGTAAAAAATCACCAGCAAAATCTGTTCAGCTCCTTACAAAAGTTCTTTTATTTTTTTTTTTTATTTTTTTTTTCTGATAAAAGTTTAAATGGGGTTTGTAAGAAGGAACTGCAGAAGATTCGAGGTTAAGAAAAATCAGGCACAGGAAACGAAAAGGAGACAAATTTGGCGAAAAATCAGAGGGAGACAAAGACAAAAGGATATTTAGCGTAGATGGGTAGATTGATTAAGACACGTAGGGTTGAAATGAGAGAAGAAGAAGAAGGAGGTGGGTTTGGGTTTGGGTTGGGGTTTCAGCCTAAGACGACGCCGTCGTGGGGCGTAGCATCAACAATGACGGTGGTGTTGGTGTGAGTTGGAGTATTGGTGGATAAAAAGGGATAAGTGTTATGTAACCAAAAAAAAAGGGATAAGTGTTTTTGAAGAGCCAATGAGCGTGTAAGAGAATCAGAGGACAAATAAAAAAGAATGGTCTCAAACGAAGAGCGTGTGAATTTAACTGGGAACTTGGAAGTCTAACGTTTGTCAATTTGACGGTGTTTGTTTGTTTGGTTGGTTCTAGGAAAAAAGCAAGTGGACGGAGGCAATTCGAGACTAGAATTGCATTGGTTTTTATGTTTTTTTTCCTAGGCCTTGTTTTTCACGTTGTGGGAACTCGTTTTTCTTACATTTTTTATGTTTTAAACTTTTTCATGTGCGATTATTTCATTATGTTATTGGATTTTATTAAGGGTTTTGTTAGTCTCTTTTTATATAAAATAGTTATCTTATGTTGTAGGCAGAAAATAAGTAAGTCCTATCATTACAAAGTAAAGAAAATAAATGGAATGCGAAAATCAAAATGAAAGAACACGAGAGAAGTTACCTTATGTGAAATGAGAGTAATATTTTTTTATTAATTTTATATTGTAAAAAAAACTAAATCCATTCCCGCACTAATAAAAATTTGTAGGTTCCACTAGCTTAATAAACAAAAGGAAACACAGCAATTGAAGGGTATTGTTTTTTCCTCCCGGCTAAATTTTTTTTAGGAAACACAGCAATTGAAAGGTATTGTTTTTTCCAGGAGAAAAACAACACCCAATGTTATTTCTATAAATTTAAAAAGTTTTTAGGACAGAGTACTCATATGATGAGAACATAAAAGATTATATGTAGTTCCCCATTTTGCACTTGCTAAGTTTTTTTATATTAATTATGGATTTAAATCTTTTCACGTGAAAAAACATAATATGATTATGTGAAAATTATAATCATACAAAGGTAGATCATTGATAATAAAGTAAGAGAGATAAAAATATTAAAATAGATAATTATAAAATCATAACTGTTGTTTCACCTTTGTATGATTGTGATCTTTTAACATGACTATATTGTATTTTTTATATCTAAAAGGATACAAATCCATCAATTACACTTGTATTGAATAATGCTCGTAATATATTATTTGACATTCTCTTTCTAATTTACTTTTAATTAATGAGTAAATTTCATATAAATTTTCCTAAATAGAGAATAAACACAAATCATGTACATTTACATAAAATTCATAAAATAAAAAATATATATTTAAAATTAAAATTAAAATTAAAAAAAAAATTCCTTTTTCCTTTGCCGCTGTCTAGTGTCTAGCAAAAGTTTTCAACACAAACAAGGTCCGATTACGGCGCCGACCGGTTTTGATAGCTAACGTTGTACAATTAGTCCTTTGTTTCATATTACATTATATGACTTGGCTAACGACTGTTGGTAGAAACCTTTACCACCAGCATGCGTAAAAAATAAAAATAAAAAAATCATGTCATATTGGTGTAAGGCGACATTGACTTCATGTTTTGGCTTGAGAAGTGCCGTGAAAAGTACGGGCGTAAGGCAATGTAACAAGATCTACAACTCTTATATATATAGTTTTTTTTTTTTTTTATAACATTATATATATAGTTAAATAGAATAGGATTAGCTTTCCAAAAAAATTTATTTAAAAAATAGTTTATAATTTTTTTTATAAGTTGGACCTATACTATATTATTTATTTTAAATAAAATAAATATATAATTATTTTAATAATCTTGAATAATAAAGTAATATTATTTTAATTATTTTTTTGCTTATTAAATATTTAATAGGTTTAACCAGACTAACAAAATTAGGTCAATGTTCTTATTTTTTTAATATAGGTCAGCCCAAACTTATAATTCGGATCTACATAAGGTTTACATATTAAGTTAAGCCTTGAATCGCCGGCTTACTAGAAAGCCCAATATGTGACACCACATGGGATGATATGATTACTATAGGGTGTACTCAATGCAGCAAGACCAGCACTATACAAGGCGGTCCCAATACAATGAATATATAATGGGAGAAGGGGAGACATACAAAGACTATGGTAGCTTTCTATCTTGACAGAGTAACGGCTCATAAAAATTCGTCCTCTAGTGTGGTGAGAAAAGGGGTATATATAGGTTTCAAGGTGATGGCAAGATATGCCAAATCAACTGTTGTGGGGAAGACGAATAGGAAGGCCTTTTGCGGCCGTTGCTATGTGCCATGTAGGAATAAAGTCGAGAGAATGATATATTGGATGTCATTGGAGACACAAAGGGAGGAGGGAGTCCCCCAACATATGACATTTTAGTGTCTTACGTTGGAAAACTGATTTGCTTTGTAGGCTTGATAATAGTACCAACTGGGTGGTGAATTTAGGGTTGAGGTGATTTGGGTCTTCAGGATCGGACCTGCCCTATTGGACTAATACTTTGGGCCAACCAGAATAGGTCTAAAATATTTTTACAACTTATTTAAGTCAAAGTCTAACTTAGCTTATTTATACCCCTATTATGAAAAGAGATAACCTGGCAACGTTAAAATAAAAGTTATGCATTATTCAATGAGTAGGGTTATATTTACAAACTTTATTTTACAAATTTACAAACTACACTATGTCTGACCGATAATACTCTATTCAAGAATGTATTACCGGTCTGACATAATGTAATTGTAAGAGTTTGTAAACAAAAAATTTGTAAATATAACTTTACCTTATTTGATATTCACTTTACGGGAAAAATTAGGCAATCCATCCTCTTATATTTTTTTCAAAAAAGATTAGCACTCGATCACCGATCAATAATTAAAATAATAATTTTGTGATGTTAACGTATCAATAAACCACTGAAAATTTTACAATCATATTTAAAAGAGATATGCAAGGATATATATATATGGAGAGAGATCATTTGACTCTAAAGTAAAATTTATAAGTCTTGTTCCTTATCTCAGCTCTTATTTCCGTCCATCCAACGGTTATAGTTTAGGAAGTCATATTAATTAATTAATTATTAATTGCATTACAAATAACAATTGTTGATTTCCGTCTATCAACAACTAAGATGAGGAGTAAGACTTAAAAATATTATTCTGAAGTCAAAAGAACTCTCCCATATATATATATATAATTAAAGATGGTGTAGCAACCATTTATCTTTCATGTTAAATTTATGGTTAAAATTAATATTATTAAATTCGAATCAATTATCGACTCTCAAAGTAATAATTAATGAATAACTATTGAATCATTTAATCAAATTTATGTAATAATGCAAATAGGGGAATCATTTTAGCATCTGTCCCATAAAATATTTTTCTGCCACAGACACAATAAAAATGAGCTCCGTGTTGATATTTCTCTTTTTTATCATTTCTCTCTCTAAAATGTTTATGTCTGTAGCAGAAAATAATTTCTACCACAAATGCAGAAATAATTTTCTGATGTAAATAAGTATGAAATTAGAAGTATTATGAGAAACCAATAGAGTTAGTTTAGGGCTGATAAACTTTTCCTCATTTTTTTTTATACAAGTGAAAATTGAACACATAATCTAATAAAATCTACACATACCCCTCACCATTAGACTAAACCTAATGACTCTTATTTCCCTCATTTCTTAAACTACACATGTCAATCTATTTTTGTTTGATCAAAGTTCATTGTTATTTGCTTGAGTAAATATTAGGGCATTAAATTAGCTAAATTGACCAAATTAACATTAAAATACAAATTATTGTTAAATTTATTAAATTAAATAATATTTAGAACCATTAATAATTATCAATTGTCTCACACAAATTTCTAAATCCTTTTGAAAATTTAAAAGCATAAAATTATTATCAATAATAATAATATTACTTTTTTTTGTTCATCAAAAACAAGGAAATAAAAAATAAAAAACTAATTATTATTTTTGAATTTGTAGAACTTTAAAAATATAATTCTCATTTATTCAATGCTATTATGAAATCCTTGTAAATATAAAAATATCAAATTTATTATTTATATTGATAATTTATTATTATTATTTTTTCTTTCCGTCAAAAAAATTTAAATTACTTTTTTTTTTGTAAATAAGGATAACAAAAATAAAAAGCAATTTAGTTAATCAACCTTGGTTTAGTGATAAAAGTTGGATGCATCACTCATCATGACCCACTTTTGATCGTCAGGTGTGCATATTTTCAAACATTTTACACGGAATTTCTAAAAATCAATTTAACTAGAAAATTCATGCTGGTTAAATTCCGGTTTAACAATTTACAAAAAATAAAAATAAAAAAAATCCGGTTTAACATGGTTCAGAAACAGTTTGACAATTTCATAGCGGGTCAAATATAGATTTGTTCCAGTAATTGGACCGGACTGATTGGGTACTGATTTTTAGTTGAACACTAAGACAGACTAATTTGATAATGAGTCAATACATAACCCGATATGAAAAGTATTTTAAATTTTTTTCATGAAAATAATAAGGACCAATGCTTAAAAATTGAACTTTGGTGGACGGTATGTAATCTTTAATCGTTTTCTCTGCAAAACGTTCTCTTATATTTCTGAAATCAACTTCTTTCCTCGATTTTTACCTTTTCAACAAATTAGGATAAGTCTGTAAGGTTTTTTACTTGTACATAAATATATTTGCTCAACTATCACACTGAATTAATTATTAAATTATTTCAACTACTCAAGAATTTAAAGTTGATGATTTGCCGAAGTAATCAATCAACTAACTGTTAAACATCTTTAACTATGAATTTAAAAAAGAGTTTGGCAAATAGTTCATAACTTAAATTTGTGATTACGCAAATGCATCGTAATTAATTTAGTTTAGTAGTTAATTAATTTATTCTATGTTAGATGCATGAAGGTATTATCATATACAAATAAAATCACCCCTAGACGTAGTGTTCGAAGTTCTAACTTCTAACACGGGACAAACAGAGAGTGAGAGCTAGCTGTTGACAGAGAGGGAGGGGGAAAAAAATAAAAGATGATAAATTTTGTGTGAAATCCGCTTAAATTATTATTAATTAGTGTAAATATCTTTAGTGTTTATAA